CGAAGGCTGTCGATAACACCCCGCCTATATGCACCATCATATCTACAACTGGATCCTGTGATGCTGACCAAATCGACCCCTGTTCCTGTGAAGATTTCAAATGGACAGGAACAGCCACGTTGAGTGACATTGGGTCGGGGATCTACCGTGTGTCTGCGTCTGTGAATGGTAGCAGGGGCAGCCTCGTGTACGTCCCCGCTGCAGCAGCTCTCCTGTCCACGGCGACTATCTCGTGAGTAGGACCAGTGTGGCACCATATGACATCACTACTTCATCTTGTAGAAGTAGTGGACGCTGGTTTCACGTATGCGCCCATATTAAAGTCAGGGGTACAGATAAGCTGCGTATCTGCGTAAATTACGCAATTTTTTATGTGAAAACTCAATTCTTATTACGTCTGATGCGTACAAGTACGCTTGAATTTTAGTAAAATACTTAATAAATGTTATCTTACATGCGTACACACAAATATGTCGATTCTTAGCTTGCGCACTTGTGGATAGATAAAATAACTGAGGTATATTGAGAGGTTGTATTTCAGGACCTGAACTTGGGAACTTGCAGTCTTTCTCATCGTTTTTCATATTACAGATCCAATATAAATAACATTTAAACTTTATTATATTTTTAGAATTAATCGAAAATGGCAAAATACCCAAACTGAGTTTGAGTGAGGTGGTACAATTTGTTTGGTTACTCACAGGAAAATTAGGATACCCAACTGAGATGAACACAAGCGAGTATGTACAAAACTCAATGACCAAAAATGTTATTTGTAGTTCTGTTAGAGTACAGGCAAATGATCGCGAGGTATACGCAGTGGAACAGAGGTTTCTTGTCACACCTCCATGAGAATATACTTTTGGTATGTAGGTTTTTAGAAGTCTTCTTTATCTTTCATCTAAATTCAAAATAATTGCTTCTATTTCCAGTTATATGACAAAAAGACATTTGTATGTCTTTGAAAAGTTCATGAAAAATGTTTTCAGTAACGTTTCTCCTGTAACGTATGCCATCAATTACTCCAAATTGTGTCCAACAGAAGCGACTGCTGTAACGCAGTGTCCTACATCATCGTTGTCGACCGGGACAGCAACACAGGAGTTTGCAAGTTTGATCTCGCCCCTGGTCTGGAGAAGTCCCCCAATGAGTGTACGTCTAGTGACACCGTGACAGAGGCAAAGGTACCGACGCTGATTAACATTCCAGGGTCATAAACCACTAAGCCTCCATTAGAGAGCGCACAGATAGATCGTCCTAAATAATACTTTGTGATTTAAAAAATTGCGTCTGATGCTATATTATCCTACATCTCATTGCACAAATCAAAATATGACACAGGATGATATTCAACAATTATAGTTCATTGAATATTGGATGTAACAATATATACTATGGTAAACAATATGGTGTGTTGACCAGAATTTCAAAGAGCGCCATACCACTCTTGCTCAGAAGTTGTTTGATCAAGGTTACAACATTCAAGGCCTCAAAGCTTTCAAGAAGTTTTATGGTCGACGTGCGGAGGAGAATTCCAAATTTGATGCATCAGTGCATTTTATAGTGATTCATAAACACATGCTCTGTCATAGTATCGCATGGTGTTAATCACTGGATTGTCTGGTACAGATTCAATTTGTTTACAAACAACATCATACAGGTGTAATGTTGCTGAAACAAAATTAATGTATGCTCATGGTATAGTCACAATTGTACAATCGACTCTGCTTTAAGAAGAGATTTCTTATGAATGTGGGAACGGTTTGTCGCCTCTATTACAGCTTGTTCAGCTTGCCCTGAGCTACTCTACATATGCATGACCCGTGAGGTCAAATGGCACAAACGGCAGGTCGAGCTAACTTCATTAAATAGGGGAGCAAAGAATGTTATTAATGTTGCTGCTCGCTGCCTGAAAGCTCGAATCGGAAACAATAAACCATCTGAAGCTTCTCTTTTAAAGAAAGTTAGCAGATCGCTGACGATTTCTCGACACTGAGGTGTCAAACGGCGACCTTGTCTCGACTGTTCGAACATGTTGACAATCAATGACACGGTCACGCAATGTATTAGTATTCACTTGATCAGGTCAAGCTGAACGATCTGTAGGATGTGCTGTATGATACAGGAATATATGATATGGCTTGTTTAGGTCACATTCATTTTGTTTTGATTCTATTTCCGCTACCCTAGGGAGTCGGTCGTATAGTGGGAGGTACAATAGGCGGTCTGCTGGTCGTGGTCGTGTTGGTTCTAGCTCTACTGGTTATACGACGACGAAAGAATCTGGGCAAGACTGACAGACTTCGATTTGTATTCAAAAAGAATCAAACATCAGGTGTACAGACAAAAGTTATCAGTTCCAGTATCTCTACCCCACGTACAGGTGCTGCATCTCATCTCCATGGAAACGTGGATCTATCACGCGAAAGAGAGTCTACTGTTGTCACAATACAGGAGACTGTGCAGGAAACCTCTAGCGGTGCCATCTCTCCGGACACTACTGGCTACAACCCTGCGGGCATTGAAGTTAATACTTCTACAGACATTGATGTTGACATTTCCGGAAACGCGGATGTTCACACTTCTACAGAGATTGATTCGGGCAATTTTACAGGCACAGCTGTTGACAATCCGGCATGTATTGAAGGTGAAAATTCCGCATACACTGTTGTTAACAATTCTGAAGACACTGTTGCTGACAATTCTACATACGCTGTTGTTGACAATTCTGCAGACACTGTTGTTAACAATTCTGAAGACACTGTTGCTGACAATTCTACATACACTGTTGTTGACAATTCTGCAGACACTGTTGTTAACAATTCTGAAGACACTGTTGCTGACAATTCTACGTACACTGTTGTTGACAATTCTGCAGACACTGTTGTTAACAATTCTGAAGACACTGTTGCTGACAATTCTACGTACACTGTTGTTGACAATTCTGCAGACACTGCTGTTGACAATTCGACATTCATTGAAAGTGAAAATACTGCAAACACTGATGTTGACATTTCTACCGGCATCGATGTTGACAATTCCACATGCATTGAAGTAGAAGATTCCACAGGCACATATATTCATAATTCAACAGATGTTGACAGTCCTACCAGCAGTGATGATGATGTTAATATGTAGTTATGACTCAAAGAAGATTGGTTCACTATTAAATATCTGTCATAAGCAATTCCAAGAATCAAATCACTAGTAAGGTCAATAACATCAACAAATTAGTTCGTCGGAGTCCCCCAATTATTTGTTCCCCTTTATAGCTACTCCATGATCAGGAGCATATCAGTACTTTATTACCCTAGTGATTTTCGCAATTATATTTTAGAAATAAAAATGAGTTTTGGGGCGCAACAATCTGTTTAGCATATGATGTCGTTCTTAATCATATCTTCGAAGTTTATGACATAATTCCGCAGATCTCATAAAAGTATTGCTGCCCGTAGCAACATGACGTCGTTGTCTTCAACTATATTCAAGTAATAATAAATCATTTTAAAACAACAGACTGTGCAACCCTCCTCAAGATCAGAGGAAATAAAGTTTTCCAAGCATTTCTGGACACTAGCTCGTTACCCGACATCTATAAATATTTCTATATACCAAAGGACGCATGTTTATCAATTTCTTCAAACTGAGGCCTGTCCTGAATATCTCCCGCCCTGTCAGATGTGTGTGCAAGTCAAACAATGTGCATGTCAGATACCTGATTATGTAACAAACGTTTTGTGAACACAAATGACATTACGAGATAATACTTGTCCGCAAAACAAAACTATCACTTAAGTCTTAATTTAACTTGTTCAAGGGAATCTTTAATAACACAATGTGTATATACACCGATTTACTTTGGTATGTAGCAATTACATGCGTTCTTGTAGTTTTGCAACGATGAAGTTCCATGCATATCATCAAACAGCAACGTTTCGTGTGTGGTTTGTCCGTGGCGTATGAAGAACTCTGCGAGGGAATGGGGAAATTTATTCAAATGACAGCCTTTCTGAAACAGAAAGCGCGGTAGCCAGTTTTGTTCATGTTCGTCTACTGAAACTACTATGCCTGCAGAAATATGCTTTCTGGATGGGTAATTGGGTCATATGCCGATATAAACACGTGAAGTATTGGACTTCATACATGTTAATGATGGTGGAAACAAGACGTTTGAGTCACCCCTCGTATCTTGTTCCCAACGTTAAACCCCACTTTACACCACATCTTAAAATATGCACATGGTTTCAACTATATTTGACTAGTCATGACTTTTTCCATGAGTGGGAGTTGTGCTTTCATCTTCCGTTGCTTGCATGAAACAACTTGATGATGACCTTCAACACTGATTCTTCCACCGAGGATATGTTTGAGTGGTGTTCGAGCAGTCGTTACTTTGTCGTAAGTAGGGAAGACGTGTGCGCCGCCCAGTCACAACGGATACAACTTCTTACTGAGATATACTGTATATAACTCCTCACGGGGTAGGGATTGTATTGTCATCATTTGACAGGACAGTTGTAAGGAAGACTAATGTAACGTGCGGTGTGACTATCACAAACAAAACGCTTGGCAACAGTTGAGGACAAATATATCAATAGTATTGCACTGCCTTATTCTCCTATAAGCCAGGTTGCACCGATGCAAAACTTCATTATTTCTAATAACAGAACGTACCTAAACGTGTTTTCAAGAATGACATCGATAATGCTCATTACATCTAAAATGCACCTGTCAATTCTGGCTATACCATATAGTCATACAGTATTCAGGAAGAAATATTGTAATGATCTCATTTGCCCATCGCGGCCAGTCAGATGAGACAGTCATAACTTCAAATGAATCAGTACGCTGAATTAAATATTCCGATGGTATAATGCAGATTATTGATTCACCGTCATCAAAATCATTTGAAAACCGTGACTACGTGCAATTCACAATGGTTGAGACACACCACAAAAATAACTAAACTAATGACTAATGACTAAACACCGCGCCAGACACGAGAATTAGGACACATCACGGAGAAATACTAAAAACCGTTACACCAAGTCAGTCAAGAGAATTGAGACAAACCACGGATAAAGACTGACTCCAGGCGAGATGTCCTTACACCCAGCACACGGCGTTCTCTTGACCTTCGTCTTTCTGTTGTTGACCATACCTCTGGGTAAGTGTGTTTGTGTGTTTGTGTGTTTGTTGTTTAACTTTGCACTCAGCTATATTTTAGCTGCATCACATAAGTCGGCACATATCAAGTCTAAACCCGCCAAAACAATGATTGGGAGCAACGAACCAAGCCATCGCGGGGTGTAACACGCAAACCAGGACATCGCTGTGGTGTAACATGCAACCTACCAAATTGCGGAGCCTCAGAACCAGACCCATCTCCTCGCCTCAAAATCATTGGCGTGTCCCCATGGAAGTACAGGGCTAAGCAGTCGGCTGATTTTATTGGGTCGTGTGATAGATCCTCGACATTTCAACCTAATATGTATTCTTATAAATACAATCATACTACCACAGCAAGACTATTAGTTAACTTTAAATTTTTCAAAATCTAATAACCTGGCTGAACCTCAAGTATGGAATGATTTAAAACAATTGAAACAAAATGCCAGGTGATGTCTTCGCAAATGAGGGGAAATTGAACCAATACGTATCTTATCACTACAAAGTTTGCAAATTACTTAAAAACCTGCTTTCCTCTTTAAAACAGAACAAAAGGACACATAATTAACACGACATCTTGACAACAACATTCAGAATTAACATGGTGAGCAGTGATTCCTTGCAATGGCACTGCTTTGGTTTATCTTTTCTTCATGTAAAATACTTTAATTTCATTGGTCAGTGACGCTTTAACAAGTTTCCGTGTCACCCCTCCCAGGAGGGTGACAACAGGAAAAAATATTACCCGCTGCCACGGTAACAGCCGAACTCTCCGCCGAGAAATTGTATCGGTAACCGTTCGATTAGCTGTTTTTGAGTTAGCTATGTACACGTTTATTTTACCGACTTCCACTGCTCTATTTAAACTATTTTATACATTGCATCGTTTGCACACTCAACTTAAACATAATTAACCATTTTCAAAGCAGTTTTCAGCTTGCCAGAATGTTTCACTGATTTCTAAAATCCAGTCGAGAGGCAGACGCCATTTTGTCATATAGCGATTAAGTGGATCTTCAAAATAAAACAAAGTGATAGATTTTGTACATGTAACATGGCGGTAAGATGAATACGCTGTAAACTCCTCCCTCGGGTAAGCCTGCCGGCTCGGAGTAACACTGCTACAAAAAGGCGTACATCAGACCGTATTACAAAAGGCGTCGACCGTATTACCCTCGAGAGAAGCATACAACTTAGAATGTTTCGTCATGTGCTGACCGATTGATATGTGCTTTTCCAGCCTCCTCGTATTACTTTGTATCCGAGTACAGACACAGATGGAGAGGAGGTCTGAATCAGTGTGAGCTGAAAGGGATGAAATACCTTGACGCCCGGTCCCCAAGGGCTGCTGAGAAAGCAAGTCGGTACTTGGGAATATTCAAGTGAGTTGTTCGAGGGAAACATGGGGTAACTCTCATCTAATTCAGAATCGCATGCGCCAGATAAGATATCCGACAACACTGTTTGGGTCTTTCACATCTATTGACCGATTTATGTTTTTATTAAATCTGATGTCAAATCCTTCACTACAGGCGCAGTGTTCTCTCAAGAGCAATCAGGCGATATTCGCGAATAGCAGGTGGTAACCGAAACACAAAGATGTATCGGGTGATGGTGATAAATTGATAATAAAGGACTAAGTACAATATGACTGTCACGGGGCCAACTATAGTCCGTTTGGCTCAAAAGCTGACCGATGAATTGCAATCTAACTCGAAAACTTATAAACATAAAATACTCAATGAAACACTGATCATAATGAAAACGTCAGACCAACTCTGTGATTTGTTTGCAGAATTTATGTCCTAAAAATAAAAAAAGTTGTTTAACAAACTATCATTAAAATATCGACACAGTTCACTATTTGTTACAAGGGAGGAGTGCAGAGAAAGGGACAGCCGGGTGTGCGAGAAAGGATGGAGACGGCACAGCACAGGTTAATGAATCAATAACTTTGTCGGCTCTTGTGCACGTGCCTTTCTAACACCTGGCTGTCCCTTTCTCTGCACTCCTCCCTCGTAACAAATAGTGAACTGTGTCAATATTTTAATGATAGTTTGTTAAACAACTTTTTTAATTTTAGGACATAAATTCTGCAAACAAATCACAGAGTTGGTCTGATATTTTGATTATGATCAGCGTTTCATTGAGTATTATATGTTTATTAGTTTTTGAGTTAGATTGCAATTCATCGGTCCGCTTTTGAGCCAAACGCACTATACCGTCCAGGGATACTGGACGGAAATGATCCAGAGTAGTAAGTAAATACACAACCCGAATGTTGGATACAACCGTTTATAAAAGCTAAGTACCTGCTCAAGCATGGATGACCTTGCACCTCAAGCACAACAACAAGCCGCTACAAACAACAAGAAAGCTAGCTAAGTAAACGCGTCTTAACAGACTAGCTCAGGGATTAGAACATATATTGACTGGTGACACCTAAGTGGGGGATAATAAGGACCTAACTACTGCCACATACAAGGGAGAGTATCGGGCCAATAAACATTTAACACCCCAAGTGACATAAGGGGTATACATGAAGGTTGGAGCGGCATAAACGCTTATATCTCCCTTATAAAAACAGATACAGCGACGGGAGTCACAGACCGTTCACCTCGCCGTCTGTACATCCTGCCCTGCCATCTGAGCTGTCCAGATGAAATCTCTACTCGTCAATGACCAAAACACTGTCCCAATGTTGTCTCCTGTACGGTCGATGCTGTCTGCACCAGGCAAGACGTGCCTGTCGGTGACATTGGAGCATAATTAGACATATTGCAGGCCGTTGGGGCCGGATGTTGTGCTCCCTCAACCGGTTCCAGACAGTCCTGCAACTGATTGGACGTAAGCCAGGAATGATCCGAGTAGTCAAAGTGGCAGTCTGGAATCGATTCCTTAAATGGGTCAGCCGAATGTGGTTGTCTTGCTGACGTGACTTCATGCGTGGACAGCCGGTCCGAGATATATCTCTCGTGTTCCAATTATGTTGAAAACGTCTCCATTGAGATGAGATCGTGTTTCGATGGAAACCAAGATGTCTGGCGCGGAGACACGCAATTTAGATTGAAATTAACGGGGGTTTTCGTCAACATTCAGAGGCTAAAGAATAATCAACCGTTCTTCAATTTACAAAATCAGGTGTGTGAACTTCAGGCGTCAAAAAGCATGCACAAAGTGAGTTAGTTCATTGTGCACAAAGTGCACATTCCACGCGCGATACGTGACATCAGATTTCATGCAAAGTGTTTTATTACATGTTTATTATTTAGAGTTATTTTTACAACTTTTCAAATAACTTTTATGTTATGCATAGTTACTTTTTTCCGTTAGTATATACTGGGTTTGGCAAAGTATGGGATATTCCATGTTGGGGCGACAGTATTTGGGAACCAAGTAGTATGGTTGTATATTGTTTTGAAATTAATTATTCCATCTACAACGTGCACACACGCCAATTTCGTGTCAGCATTTTTCATGATGTGCACATGAACATGTTCGGAGTAAATTCAAAACTTACAGTGAAACGTGTCTGTGTGTTACTGTACATTTCAGTGATAAAAATCAGACAGAAAAGTGTTTTGGCGTTGTTTTGAAACACTAAAGTGATCACGTGATTCGTTGCACATGATTGTTGTGTTTCACGTTTTATGATATTTTTTCATGTCAATCCCCAAGACCATGTTCGAAAAGCCTACAAGTCATTGCTTTGTATACGGAACAGCAAGAATCTGTGTAAGAAAACACCCACACAATGTACCAATACCAATCTGTACCAATAATATGGGTGTCACATTTCTAATTTTGTTGAGTATATTTGCGTGTTTTATAAAAGTTGGTGGTGTTTCATACACGAGTTCAAAGTGGATGTATCGTTGTCCTTGCACTGTACTTGTGATGTATCTTTGTGTAAGTCATCACTTTACTCTACTTTCTTAGGACTTGGCAGTACTGGTCAAGTCTGCAATACGACAATAGGACAGCGTCCTTTCTGTGGGAGGGATCCAGAGAGACAGTCGACGTTTATGAACTTCAGTGGGAGAGGGGAGAGCCAGATCTCTCCTCCAACTACGAGTGTGCCACCTTCACACTTGAGGAAAATAATGCGGTGTTCAAAATGGCAAACTGTTCACACTCCAAGTCTGTCGCTTGTGAGGGGGACGGTAGGTCAAGCTTCATCTTTTAGATCTCGTGCTTCATAGATAAATGACACTCAGCTAATGACATTCTATAGGCGCGTGTTAAAATACATTAAAGACATTTTATGGATGATTAATCCAGGGTAAATTCATAATATTCATGAAATCGAGGACTGTTCATAAACATAAAGGGTTTTTTTTAATCTAGAAATTAAGTGGCTTACAATTGTGCATTCCAGAGTGAGTGAGTGAGTGAGTTTAGTTTTACGCCGCACTCAGCAATATTCCAGCTATATGGCGGCGGTCTGTAAATAATCGAGTCTGGACCAGACAATCCAGTGATCAACAGCATGAGCATCGATCTGCGCAATTGGGAACCGATGACATGTGTCAACCAAGTCAGCGAAACTGACCACCCGATCCCGTTAGTCGCCTCTTACGACAAGATAGTCGCCTTTTTATGGCAAGCACATGGGTTGCTGAAGACCTATTCTACCCCGGATCTTCACGGGTCTGTGCATTCCAGAAGATTAATGTGCATCAGTTGAAAATTAGCGTTTTCAGAAGCGAAGTCACTGTCTCTAATCGCAATTGTTTGACAAGGTTGTTATGTTTTGTGCATGTTCTTGTTTTTAAAACATTGCTTCCTCGAAGAAGCAACAAAAATATAAACATGCTTGTTTGCTTGTCTATACTGGGAGAGAAGTTATTTCACCATTTGATAACTTCAAACAGAACATTCATCACCGTCATTTTAAACAATAATAGCAGACTGGTTCAAATTAGGTGATATATCTCAAATATTAGTGAAATTGTCTCAAAAATAGCAAGTGAGGTTCGAGCAATAGAGATATTATGCAACATGTAACTTGCAGAGATTAAACTGGAGTTGTGTAGCATGCTGTGTGAACACTCAATGTGCTAAAATGTCACGTTTTGACATTTTGAGGCATTGAAAAAGAACTTATGATAAAACCTGATACTAATAATGGCAGTGTGTTTGGACCTTGTACTGTTTTTCTGCAGAACTACAGACCCCTGACAGATTTCGCAGTTTTTCCAAAGGAAAGAGCCAGAAGGAGTTCTGTGAACCAAATCATGGTGAGTTCTTCGTAAAAAGTATGTATAATATACTCATGGAAATGAATGAGGGAACACATGAAAGTACAAGTGTTCCATTATTCTTTTACAGGTTTCTTCACAAGGTATGTATTGCACTTGGGGTGAAATTCTGGAAATCAATAAAGGATCACTTGTACTTTCATGTGTTCCCTTCTTCGCTTCTATGAGTATGTTATCTTATCAAGATAAAAGGATAAAGCAGAGTAATTCATTGTACATTTTGTCATTTATAGGAGTTGATAAATGTTTACCGTTTAGAAAGCATGAATTAGGCATTGTTTGAAAAGACATTTGCCTGTTCCTGGTGTAAGAATAAGAACAAGCCAAAATATGTTATTAATGGATTATTTAGTTTCATAATATTCATGAAATCGAAACAAAGGGGATGTTTAAATTTAGAATTATACAGTGGCTTACAATTGTGCATACCATGCGGCCACATATAATTTGTGGTCTTTCTATGACTACACCATGTTGGCAAGACATTCCACAGTTTAGCTTGAAGATCCAGTAGTCTTTAACGAGTCCTGTCTCTTATTTCCCAGCAGGCACTCCGGTGTGCACCTTTTACCAGGACCATGGCTGGGAGATCCAGCTCCTGAAAGTGGAGCCAGCTGAGGCAGAGGAGGACTGTGCTCTCCGGTGTATGGGGATGTCGGAGTGTGTCCATTTCACCTACATCCGGAAATCCGCCATGGTCGGAACATGTCTCATCCACAGGAAACCGTCCGAACCAGTGTGGTCTCAATAATCCGTCACTCTCGTTTGACCAATCCATATGTTAAACCTGCTGAATGCATGGCCCCCTTTGTCTTAGGTTTCGTGGAAGCAAGGTGCACATTGTGAATCATTTCAGAATACGTTATTCGAGGATGTAATTTTAGATTTATTTCTAGATCCTTAAATGTTCCATTTTATGTAAGCTTTCCGTTTATGCAATATTTCGAGGTCCAGCTGTCTCTATATGGTCAAGCAACTTCAACATCGTTCCGATACTAAGTCTGCATCAACAGATATCCATTCTCTATATCCATACTTGGTCATACCAACATGGACACTGGTAACATCACCGTACACACTTAGAACTACACAGAGGTAACGACAAGCATGTAGTTGTCACAGTATATTAATGACAAGCATGTTGTTTTCACAATATGTTCTACTTGGGTGTTCTCTTGTAATAGGCGCATTATTCATTGTTAATTATTTGTACTTTTAAAAGATTGCTGCTGCTGCTGCTGCTGTTGTTGTTGTTGTTGTTGTTGTTGTTGTTGCTCTTCATTGAGTGACGTGATCATGATACTGAAGTACACATCAGATGATATTGTATCTGGAAGAAGACTTGAAGGCAAGGTAATACTTCTACTGTTGGCTGAATATTTGAGTTTGCAACCACCTCTACCTATGTAAATTATAAAATCCCATACCTTCTGATTCTTGGTTAACATGCAATGTTATCTGTTTCAGCAGAAATCTGCATTAAAATGCTGGTGTTCTGCTGTTGATGAATATTCGGAGACGTTTTAACAATCTTCAATAGTGTTCAGTTAAATTTACTGAATTTTCAGAATGATTATTAATCATTATATTCTTGTTTTGATTGAATGATAATGAAAAACAACCTCAGAGTTCACAAATCACTGGCAAGTACAAGGATTAATGTCTGCTGCAAAATGTCATGTTGCAATATGTGATCAGGTTGTCCCAGGCTTTGCAACTATGCATGACTGTCGCAACTGAAATGACCCTGAATTAAAGCTAATGTCTCATCAACCCAAATCGAGTGTTATAAACAAATACCATTCAATGGATGATGTCTTTGAGTCTTTGGACTCGAAGCAAACTTTTTTTTACTAGTTTGCCTGAGTGTGCAGAAACTTGCTTCAAAGCATGAAGTTGCAATGTGCAACCCAGTTGATTCCTCTTTATCGCCAGATAGTGCTTTCACTGCTTCTGAAACCTGGACGTTGTTATGATCTGAATTATGATCTTACTCAACAAATAGTTACCGGTACATAACTTGGTTTATTGTTCAGGCAAAAATATTTGCAGCTGAAAAGATGAGGAGTGAGTGAGTGAGTATGGTTTTACGCCGCTTTTAGCAATATTCCAGCAATATCACGGCGGGGGACACCAGAAATGGGCTTCACACATTGTACCTTTGTGGGGAATCGAACCCGGGTCTTCAGTGTGACGAGCGAACGCTTTAACCACTAGGCTACCCCACAGCCCTGAAAAGATGAGGACATGAATATGAGTAGGTACATATAAAATCTAGTACCAATGGATAATGAAAGATAATTTTCAACAAAATATTGAGCCTAGAAACATATCTGAACAAAAGGTATATTGCAAGGATTCCATCAACTTTACTTGAAAATGCAAAATCTGGCTTTAAAAATCCTGAAATTAATACTATCCAAACTAGCACTCATACCTAGGGATTCAGATTATATTCTATCATTTCCTTAGTCACAAGTTGGCATCAGTTATTGGGTGGCTGGCTATCTGGTTCTTCTTTTGTACTCTGTTTGCCCTGTGGGAGAGGAGGAATTCATCCAAATTTACGGTTAAACTATGGTTAAATACGTACCACCTATTTACTTAAAATAACAATACCCAAAAAATCAGAGATAGTTAAACTTTATCAAATTGAATGCCAAGACCATGCAGAGAATTGCAGTTCTTTAGAAAGAGAAAGCAGTATATATCTCTAGTATACTGTTTCCTCTTACTTTTCTCTAGTATCTTGTTTCCCCACAATTAAACAGTATGGTTCTGTTCTGAAGGCACGGTTAGTCAAATCATGACCAGTATATTCATATGTTGTTCAGTGATTCTTTAGCCATTTCTCTTTTTGTACTATGAGTTTTCACAAGGGAGGATTACTCACTTTTCAGAGATGAGACTGCTGATTTTCTGTTTATTATTGTGTATTGCGTTGTAGACTATGAAGGTTAATCACATGTAGATGAATCAAACTGCTTGTTGTTTTTAGATCATTTCATGGGTTGGTGCGAAAAGACCCTTTTCTCAGACCAATTTGCCTGAATAATCTCTTATCCATCCACCAACAATATCTTTGTAGATATAGACCTTTCCAATAAGTTCTTATCTCCCCCTGCTTTATTATACCCCCTTGAGAACTCTTTCGCAAGAAGAGATAAAACGGCGCTTGGCGTTCACTTCCGGAGATGTTTTTTTTTTAAAATGAACGGAACGAACACGAAACAGCGACATTACTGCACCGTCTACTCCAACTATGGAGGAAAGGAGATAGAAGGACGGGTAGGGACACTACATAGATTTCCAGCAAATGAATTATTGAAGAAAGCTTGGATTCGGCGGCTCAAATTGGTGAAAAAAAATTACAGACACAAGACCACCCAACGTCTTTGTTCTGAGCATTTCAGGGATGGACATTTCAGACGGAACTTAATACCATCCATTTTCGGGAGAAAGACGTTCAACACATACCAGGTAAAGTCAACATAAACATTACACACACGTTCTCAACTTTCGTGTTTTCGGACACTTGAGAAACATTCATTTCTCTATATTTTTTTATATATTGTTCAGTGTCAACCTTCGGACAGAGAATATAACTACATGTATTTGGCAATGATCATGACTGATCTGAAAGGAGATTCATCCCAATTTTCGGAAAGAGTTCCACCCCCATGAAAAACCAAAATTACAAACTAACAGGCATACCTCACCCTAAATATAAATTCAGTAAACTAGAACAGGTATGAAAACAGTCAGTGAACTTATTTCAGTGTTGGAATAATACACCGTGGAAGGACTCCTGGAGCAAATATGTACTAGGTAAAAAAGTGGGGTATATGCGGAACACTTTCCCAATTTTTTTTCTAGTCATGAGAATGGACACCATTCGTAAGGATGTGTGGCTCAGTCATTATGAATTTTTTATTTATGAAATTTTCAGTTTGAACACGGCTCTGATGAGAGTACCATACAAAGGGAGGCAGCCAAACCAACAGGTGACTGTGAAAACGGGAATGAGCATTCTGTCTCAGACCATCAGCAGATTAATTTGAAGTCCTCGGGATCAAGGGTGGGGGCTTCAGTCGTCATGCATGACTATTGTGGACAGATTGAAGATCATATCACCAGTCAGCTTGTAAACAAGTGTGAACAGACTGATTTTCATCCTGTAGGTATTGATGCATCCACTCAGACAGATATCTTGGATAGTGTCTATATGACTGTTCCAACACAAACATTGAATGATGCTATCGAAATTCCGATATCAAAGCCAAAAATGATTAATGTGGAAATTCAGTGTAACAAGCCTGTGCTAACATATGAGGATGTCTCCTCCAGTGAAAAAATCTCATTTTACACAGGAATCCCTAACCCAGGAGTGTTTAAAGCCTTATTTGATGAGATGGCTGATGCCATAGAGCATACAACTAGAAGTAAGTATTCAAGTGAATCGGAACTAAGTCGTCCACGCACCTTAAGATTAGTTGATGAGTTTTTCTTAGTTCTCATGAGGCTTAGACTGGGACTTTTACTGGAGGATTTGGCAGATATATTTTGTATTTCAAAATCAACATGTAGTATCATTTTTGACAAGTGGATAGACTATTTAAGTATAAAACTGTCTTCTTTGACAGTCTGGCCGTCAAAAAACTGTCATTAAGAAAACAAATCCAAAGAAAATACCCTGATACCCGAGTTATCTTTGACTATACAGAAATATTTATCGAAACACCACAGTCCCTGACAAATAGGACCCTCCTATACTCCAATTATAAGTCGCATATGACTTACAAATCGTTGATTGGTATTAACGTTTGTGTCTGACCTTTGGTGTGGCAGTACCAGTGATAAACAGATTACCAAATTATGTGGTTTGCTGCATCTGTGTGAACCTGGGGATTCCATAATGGCTGATAAAGGATTTCCCATTTCTGATCTGACTACTCCCTTAGGAGTGAAATTACACATCCCACCTTATAAGACAAAAAGGTTTTTACGAAGAGAAGTGGAAGAAACAAGACGCATTGCAAATTTAAGAATTTACGTTGAAATGGCAATTAAACGTGTGAAGATTTTCAGGATTGTACAGGGGGTCCTTCCAATTACTTTGGCAAAGAAAGTCACAAAAATTTGGAAAGTGTGTGTTCCCTTGACAAACCTTCAGCCTCCACTTGTTGACAAGAAGTAATAATAGTGATACACTTGCACTGTTGAGCTGTGTGCTTTGAATTTCCAAATCCAGTGCAAGGTAGTGTGGTCCTGTGTATATACATGAGGTCACAAATCAGTTGTAGTTAATCAACGTTAAACGCAGAGTCCATTGATGGATGATGATGTTTGGAAGTTGAGTCCTGAGAGTTTCTAGGACATTAGTCCTTCCCCACAAAGAAGCACCTGTGGCACATGTGGTCTCACCTTATGAAAGTGATTTTGTTCAAAATTGCCTCTGTTAACCCAGCAAAAAACGGGTACCCGGTGGTGAGATAAGTCATGTGACTATTAACCTTCTAGCGCCTCACAGGCAGCTTGTGTTATCTGGGGCAATGTAATAAGCAGATTCACATTACAGCGTCCAGTGAGCAACTAGTGAGATGGATACTAGGTGCTATGTAAATGAGTTATTATTATTATTATTATTAAGGTATATCACCCAAACTCAACCATCAGCTGTCTGATTCAGACCATAACATTAATGTTCAGAATATGTATTATTATACTGATATATTTGTGCTTTGGTATTTATGTAATATATCTAAGGACTTGATGTGGTCCAAAGGAATTCTAATTTAAACACTGGAATATTAGTTTGCATCTATAATCATGATTATGTAACTAGTCCGGTTCATGTTATTCTTACCAATGTCTCCTGGTTAAACTATTGAATCATACTATGTGATTCATGTATTGGTGTAAATAAAACTGACTTTTACATTTTTCAACAGCATTTCAGTTATCTCTGATTTGACATTTACGACATGACACACCTGGTACTATGTGAAAGTTGAGAGCTCTGGCTTATACCTATGAATTATGGGCTGCTTTTTAGCATTGCACCCTTCCCTCACTTACTTACTGTATTAGGACATAACTTTTCTGTCGTAAACATTTCATGCACCCATAGGTCTTGTGTGTGCCTTTCTGCTTTTATCAGGTCGGACTTCCATCTAATTGATAATATACTGAGTCAAAAAAGAAACTTCACATTC